AGTTGTTGAGCTATGTTTCATGTAGGCAGAAGTCTCAGAAGGCAAGAGGTAGTTGTTATGTACTGAAGTTCTCACCCTGGGCCAGCAGGGAGATACTATAGATAGTTCAGGTCCACATATGCAAATAAGGGATCGAAAGTGACGTTCAGTGATTGGATAGTTACAGAAAGTTGTTACAGTTACGTGGTACTGGAGCTCTATATAAGCAGGCTGGCTGAACCCTTCAGTTGAGTTCTGTTCTGGCCTCTGAATAAACAAGAGCTGTTTGAAGAATTGCTGTGTCGTCTGATATGTTCACCCACAACTTAACAGTAGTTGCCAAAACAACCCCTATAACACATCAGTAACAAAACGTGTGGCCTCTTGGTGAATTCACACTGCACACCACTGGCAAGGTCAAGCAAGATAGCCTGTTACATTCACCAAAATGTTCTGTCACAGTATCGGTGACATGCTAGGAAGGAAAACAAAACAGTCTGTGCTGCAAACCCAGAAGAACCAAAAGAAGAGTTAAAGGGTGGGAACAAAATGCTTGCCCTGACGGAATGATGAATGCAGTGCTACGTTAAATTCCTCCCAAAGCTACAAAATGGTATGGAAAAATTAATCTTGTAACAGTAAGGCGCACAGTGCATTTCAGTTGATGCCCACCGTGTTTCAGGGCACGGAAAGAACAAACCTAAACAAATACGTCAACCATTATGCAGATCATTAAAAGCATAGGGATGATCTATAATAGAACAACCCATGATATTAAAAACTCATTATGCATGGGACATACCCTAAAGCCCTCAATGAATCACGGTACAGTTACACCCAAATACTACACTGCAAAATATAAATTTTAATAAATATTAATGGATATTAAACATACGATAATAATTTAGATCCTGCCATGTGCTTAGATCGGGGTGGTGAACCACAGGCTCTTGGGCCTGATCCTGATTTGATGAACCAAGCTTTTGTAGTCCACCCCCAGCCTCTAATCCAATTTATCAGTGCTGGTGGCATCAGCAGTGTTATGTCAAGTCTGCTTTAGCTGCTGGCATTGGGAACAGATTGGAGCACTTCTGAAACAAGGAGGAAGATACTTGTATACTTGAGATTTAATATATGGACCTTCCTCTCTCTCTCTCTCTCTCTCATTCTCTCTCTCTCTCTCTATATATATACCGTATTTTTCGCTCTATAAGATGCACCAGACCACAAGACGCACCTAGTTTTTGGAGGAGGAAAACAAGAAAAAAAATATTCTGAATCTCAGAAGCCAGAACAGCAAGAGGGATCACTGCGCAGTGAAAGCAGCAATCCCTCTTGCTGTTCTGGCTTCTGGGATAGCTGCGCAGCCTGAATTTGCTCCATAAGACGCACACACATTTCCCCTTACTTTTTAGGAGGGAAAAAGTGAGTCTTATAGAGCAAAAAATACGGTATATATATATATTTAAATGATAAGCAAACTAAATATATGACTTCAGTGTTTCTAATCAGATTATCTTTTGTTCTGCGACAGGTAGAAAATTATACTGTGATGTACAAAAGGGTCTTTGATATGGAATCAACATGCAAATACGTGCATCTTTTTTCTACCAGCATATCCCATGAACCATGTAGCTTAGTGGCTAAGGTGTCATGTGTTCACATGGAAAATAAATCACTTAAATATTAAGCTCCAAGTCATGCCCCCCTCATTCTAAACTTTGATGGCTGAAAGATACACTTCTATGCAACCTTGAAATTTTCAGCTGTGAAGGTATGTGGCTGTTTCAAAAATCTTTTAGCATTCATTCATGTATTCATTCACTGTTTGCTGTTTTAAATATGCTTTAATTTTCATTTTGCTGTTTTAAATACGCTTTTATTTTATTTTTAATTGTATTGTTTTACTACTTTGCTGCTTGCTGACCTGCGTAGGATTGACATAATCAACGATAATCACCATCACCATTGTCTCACAAAGTTGTGAGTCTACCACACTCCTCTGAGATTTCCTGTGTTGCTTCCTCCCCACTGCCCCACAAACAATCAGCTTTCCTATTCTGTCAAGAATGACTTAGAAGCTAGGTGTTCACATTCCCATTTCCCCTGGCCTACTTTGAAGTGAGGAACTGGTTTTCCTCATTCCTCCAGGGACAAGTCAAGTGTTGCAGGTCAACACACCCACCAACACAGAGGTGTGAAAATAATACCAAGCACTGATGTGCATTGTGGTTTATTAGATCTGAATGACGAAGTGGAAAATAAAGGCATTTTAGAAGCTTCCTTAGACTTCTAAGCAGAAACACAAAAGCATATGTTCCATTTGGGCTGGCTGGCACCCTCCTCACAGTGCTAATATCAACGTTGCAAGTAAGTGCTAATGACCTACATTCCTGACTTCTATTAGAAAAGTGGCAGTCTGAGCGCATTTGTCATATAGAGAAGACTTAAATGGGGTGGTGTAATTGCTGCCGGCACTGGGGAGTGTTTCATCTCATTGTTGACTGATGCTGAGTGTCGGGTCACGTTTTTGTGAAAAACGCAAGCGGAAAGTGCTCATGACATGGACTTTTGTTGTGCATACAAATTGAAAGAATTACATTTGTGCAAAAGATGAAACTAGCTGGTTTTCATTTGGACGGCCACCAAAAAAAAAAACAACCATGCAAAAATGAGCCTGCTCCAGAAGCTTTTAGTAACAGAGTTCCGTAGGAATGTGCATGGAAAGGATTAAAAGCCATACCAGTGTAGAGCCAGTTTCAGCCTTCCTAAGTCTGGTGCCATCCAGGTAGTTGGACTGGCTGGGGGTGGTGGAATCAGGCTGGCCTACTCCTCTGCAGTGAATTTTGTCTCCTATCTGAACACTGTGGGTTGGATGTACATAGGAAGGATCTGAAATACCTGTGTGCTAGCCCTTCACTTGCATTTAATGAGGATAATGTAGAATTGCCCACAGAGATTCAATTATCTTCAGACATAAAAGAACAGCATATACAGCGCCTGGAACTAATGTGCATAGCAATCACAGCCTTTTCTATTTTAAACCGAGGCATCAACAATGAGAAACTTTTTCAAAACTTCCAAATGAAACATAACTTTTTTTGACAGATTTGGGAAACATATATCTTAGGTAGCAAATGCAACATCAGTTAGGATTATGAATAGCTTGCGGCATCAGCTGAAATCCCTGAATACCAGTATACAAAAAGTGAAATCCTCTATTATATGTACGGACGGACGGACACACACACACACACACACAGATTGCACCTTTAAATACCTTCCCTGGCCATGCTTTCCTCTTTGTAGTAGGAGAGAAAGAATATTTTCCAAAGCCATTGCAGGACCAGAAGTTGGTGTTCAGGTAACACATGGACTCACTCTTTTAAAAACCTGGTGGGTTTGTGCACAGGGAATGGCAAAGCCTTCTGCAGGACCACCTTCACTGCCGAATTGGGGCATATGAAGAAATTTGAAATTAAAACCGACTTTTCAATCCTACTCCCACAGCTTCGCTGCCACCACTTTGTGGGAAGGAATTAGGATGTCAGTTATAAAGGTGATGCTGTGATGTGCAAGGTTGAAAGGATTTTCCCCTCCTAATGCTCATGGCTGAAAGCACTATTTTCTAGGAAATAACTTTCTGTGATCCTGGTGTGTAGAAGTCAATCAAGTACTTTCTGACAAGTTGCAAAAGAGATGCTGTTTTGATGTTGTCGGGGCTAGAATGCATTTTTTAAAAAGATCTTGCCCAATCCTGCTTTCTACTTTTCGCTTTGAGGGTTCTTAAGTTTCACATAGCATACTTTGCATGAAGTTCCTGACACCTTTTTAATTAACTAGTTATCCCAACAAGGTCTCGTATCATGCCTTCATGTTCTCTTAAGTAAAGTTCCTTTAGTGCAAATAAGATTTGGGAAATATACTGTTATCAGTTTGCAGGAGGCAAGGATCCCCTAAAATTCCAGGGGGCCGGGGTTCTCCCCACAGTTTCTGAAAATAGTATATGTGGGGTTTGGTCAGTGGATTTAGGATGGCCTAAAAGTAAGTCAAGCAAACATTCACACTGAATGGCATACTGACTATTTTGCTGGAAGATGCCCAGAGTGTCTGGGGCAACCCTGTCAGATGGGTGGCATGTTGTTGTTGTTTAGCTGTTTAGTCGTGTCCGACTCTTCGTGACCCCATGGACCAGAGAATGCCAGGCACTCCTGTCTTCCACTGCCTCCTGCAGTTTGGCCAAACTCATGCTGGTAGCTTCGAGGACACTATCCAACCATCTCGTCCTCTGTCGTCCCCTTCTCCTTGTGCTCCCCATCTTTCCCAACATCAGGGTCTTTTCCAGGGAGTCTTCTCTTCTCATGAGGTGGCCAAAGTATTGGAGCCTCAGCTTCAGGATCTGTCCTACCAGTGAGCACTCAGGGTGTGCATACACACAATAAAATTATGATGATTAATAATATTATTATTAGCAGTGGCTCTCTAGGGTTGTAGGCAGTGACCTCTCTCAGCCCTAAAGGGAATTGTCAGGGATTGGACCGGGACCTTTTGCACACAAAACAGATGCTGTACCACTGAGGTATGGCACTTCTCCATAGTCTGATGATCTCCATGGGATTTACTGAGCTGTGGTCATAGAATCATGGAAGTGCATGGTGGAGATGGATGCCAATGTTGTGTGCCTGCTGTGCTGACTTTTGCTATCCAGAAAATGTCTGAACATTTCTGAAATGTCTGAAAAGTGCCAGTCTCCTGCTGCAGGATAGGAACTGGGCAAAATGATTCATGGGATAGATCAGAACTCTATTTTTTAAAAAATAAATAAAACAAAAACAAAAATAAATTATTGGTTTCTCCGTATATACATCCTCTAACGATATTTCTCTAACAGTTTTCCATATTTTCCTACCCCCTCCCCTGGACTTCCCTCATACTCCCGTTTTGTTTTACTTCCATATTGTTCACCCTGCATATTTTCCCCTCAAATTTTCCCAATACATATAATCTATTTATTATTATTATTCTATACAATTGCGATTGTTTACTCAAATCCTGCCAATGAGTCCAGTTCTTTATGTTGTCTCTTCATATATATTGTAAATGGTTCCCATTCTCTTTTAAAGTCTTTGTTGTCCTTTTCATGTAGTTTATCTGTTAGTTTTGCCAGTTCTTCATATTCCATAAGTTTCCCTTGCCATTGTTCTTTCCTTGGTATTTCTTCTGTCTTCCAAGCTTGTGCTAATATAATTCTTGCCGCTGTTGTTATGTACATAAATAATTTCCAATTTTCCTTTTTTATATCTTGATCTAAAATTCCTAGGAGGAATGCTTCTGGTTGAATAGATCAGAACTCTAAGGCTCCTGGATGTTATTATTTACCTTCCAGCTGGAAACCTAAGGTGAAAAAAAAGCTCAAATTAATGCTGGTTACATTCACCTAAAGATTTTGACATAGAGGTAAAGAACCTGACAAGAAGCAGTATTACCTAATAATCATAATACAGAAAGCTGACAGATCATTTCCAAATACCTTACACCTAATCATAATATTTGGACATCATGTAGGTTTTTATTTTAAAAAAAACACCTAACCGGAGCAAGCAAATTACCCTAGTCAGCCTCCTCTCCCCCCCAAAAAAAATATTCAAGATGTGATTGAGTTTTTAAAAACACCAATAAAGAAACAAGATGGAAAGGCAAGATATGGAATCTTTGTGGGATGATTCAGCCTCTCATAACCACCATGCTTGGCTCTAATTAATGCATGAAGGGGTTAAGATAATAGAATAAGCAGTCCTCCTAGACTGACCTAGGTCACACCCCTTCATCTTGGGTTAGCATAGCCTTTGTTCATCCTCTTTCCACCCTGTAACTGAGGAAGGATGTGTGGGCTGATCTCTCCAAGCCCAAACTGTGTGGCTTAAGCACACTATCTTTGTGTTTTTATACAAATAATTTAGAAACATTTACCAATTTCGATGCTGTTAAACTGCCTGTGTTTTCTTGCTGCTGTATGAAAAAGGACAATAATTTGACCTTTGAAGAGTTTGTAAGTAAAACCATTTTCACTGTGTGGTTTATTTCATTACTAAAGCGGAAGAAAGGAAAAGCTTTGGAAGCAACTTAGAAGAGGTTATTTTAAAGGTCTAACCATCTATATTTCCATGCTTTAGTTTGCTGCATATTTTGTGATTTTAAATCTCTGCTGGAGTTCTCTCACAGAGAGTTTTTGCCCCAAACCTGGATCTAGGCATCCAGGAAATTCTCCTTTTATAAAATAAAATAAATAAAACCAAATAAAAACCAACTGACAACCTTTTTATGGTTGGTATGGAATATTAGAACATGTATTCTAAATCAGTTTGGAAAAGAATGCATGGAATGCATTGAATGAGAACAACAGAATATAGATCCTTAATATGGGGACAGAGATGTTTGAGGATTATGATGTTTGTGGATCCATGTATGGAAGTGAGAGCTGGACCATAAAGAAGGCTGATCGCCGAAGAATTGATGCTTTTGAATTATGGTGCTGGAGGAGACTCTTGAGAGTCCCATGGACTGCAAGAAGATCAAACCTCTCCATTCTTAAGGAAATCAGCCCTGAGTGCTCACTGGAAGGACAGATGGACAGATCGTGAAGCTGAGACTCCAATACTTTGGCCACCTCATGAGAAGACAAGACTCCCCAGAAAAGACCCTGATGTTGGGAAAGACAAGGAGAAGGGGACGACAGAGGACGAGATGGTTGGACAGTGTTCTCGAAGTTATTGTAATGGGTTTAGGGGTTGCTCGTGCGTAAGTTGCCGCCACTCCTGGCTAGGTTACCTGGTTAACCCTTTCTGACTGAACAGCCTCCAGCATCGTGACTGTCTCAGTCGCTGGCAGAATCCGTCAGTGGGCGTTTCTTAAACTTTTTCCAGCACAAAAGTTCCTTGATGCCAAGTCTCCTTCTACTCTCCCTGCGCGGAAGTCTTCTGCGCAGGGAGGGTGTGGGCAGTCGAGTACCCGTACTCTCTCCGCTGGTCTCCGGCGAGGAGTCTTGGAGCCTCCTCCCCGATTCCCCCATCTGCCCCCCTTCTCTACTGGTGTTACGCTGATTTCCTTCCCCAGCAGACGGGCTCCCTCTCTCCCTACTGGGACCCTCTCCGCCATCCCTTTGGAGCCTCCCCTCCGCTTCCAGCTCCGATGGCAGTTCCCTGACAGTTATGAACATGAGTTTGACCTAACTGCGGGAGGCAGTGGAAGACAGGAGTGTCTGGCGTGCTCTGGTCCATGGGGTCACAAAGAGTCAGACATGACTAAACGACTAAACAACAACAACAACAACAACAACAACACAAAATTACCTGATCTACTCCGCTCAAACTAATATACAGATGACAAGTTAGCTATCCACTGGATTTCACACTTCTCTGAATGTTGCAACACAATTCTCAGCTGTTTAAATGTGTATTTAAAGGAGTTTAGAGAAAGAAATGAAATACACGTTTAAGTATATATTTCAAGAGAAAATGTGCATGTAAATATGCATTAGAAAACATATTTAGGTAGATTTAAAAAAATTAAAAAATAAAATTCCAGAATGGAAGAAAGTTGCAAAAGTAACAGATTTGCTCATCATTATCTGCCTACTGCCAGACTGAGCATCCTGCGAGCGGAGTCTTCATCATGTTCTGGAACTCACTCCTGAAATGAGCCATCTATGGAAAGTATTTATGACCTCTCTGGGGGGTGTGGAACTCTGTGAAAGAGTGTTTGTTCTGCTTAGCATTCAGTTGGTTGTTACTGTTTATTATTTACTGCTGATGATTATGTGATTTGACTAGATATGTGTGGCTTCAGGCAATTTTAAATGTCATAACTCTATTTCAGGTCTTCTATCGGGACGTTTTAAAGTAAACATTTGGTTGTGACCCACCTTGAGTGCGTCAGAAAAGACAGGTGGCACATGCATTTAAAAATGAATGAATATCTATATAAATACATTTTAAATGCAGAGCTAGGATAGCTGCAATTTATCAAAGCCATATCTACAAGTGGAAAAATCACATTTTTTTGCACTATTAGTTAACCAACTTTATTCTTCAAAAACCTATCTGGCCAAAAATGTTTATCATTGTTATAGTGATAAATGGGCCCAATTCAACAAATGTTAACCATGCCTTGAAGTAATTTAGCCATCTTTTAGTCACACCTACATCCTAATCCAGGGCATTCAATGAGACTTGTTCACAACCAACTCTTGCCTATATTTATCAGTTTCAGCACTTGTTCAATATTATCCTCAGAGTTCTTTTTGTATGTTATTCTATTTATATTTGTTATGGCAACAACGGCATTTGTTGGTCGATAATGATTAGTCTTTTCCTATCGTGGAATTTTATTTTGAAATGATGCTACAAATAGAGGCCACACATGGTAGACAATACAGCAAAATCACTAAAAGAATAAAGATAATTCAGTCATTACAATATTCAAGCTGCTATTCTATTGAACATAGTGGGACTTACTTCTGAGTATTGCACAACTTGCAAAGGATTGTATTGTTAGTATATCACACTTGTGAGATGACTAGAATAAAACAGTCAAAGGAGATGTTCACTATGGCCACACTGATGCCACACATTTGAAGCACAAAGATACCACTTTAAACAGTCATGGCTTCCCCCAAAGAATTCTGGGAGCATTGTTTGTTAGGGTGATTTGAGTTGTTAGGACTCCCCTTTATGCCTCACAGAGTTACAGTTCTGAGAGTTCGCTGTGAAGAGGAATTGACTGCCAAACCACTCTGGGAACTTTAGTACCATAAGGGCCCTCTAAAAACTGCAGAATTATTTGAGGGAAGCCATGACTGTTAAAGTGATATCACTGTGCTTTAAATATACAGTGTGAATGTAGCCTAACTGTACCATTTCATAGACACACACAGAGAGACATGGGGAGAAAGAGAGGGTGTGTCAGTAAAAAAAATATATATATGGCAATTGATTAGAATTTGATCAAGGACTGCCAAGTAGGAAATAAATGAAAAACATGGTGTCAGAATGTCATATTTAAAATGAAGGTTATTTCCTTGCTGTAATTACTGGGTGAGTTTGTGCATAAACATAGTCTCCCAAATTTAGGGTTGCCATATTTAAGTTGTTGAGCATTTTTTGCAAAAAATGCTGCTTTTGAGCTATTTTTATGGCAAATCGGTAACAAAGGCACTGCCAACATGGGCTGCCATACTGTGGTATTCCGGATATGTCCAGGAAATTCTGGACATATGCCAACCCTACAAATTGTATTATTTCACTGCTGTTTCGATGGTTGCTTAAGAGACTTCCAGTTACATGCTATACACAGCTTTGCCACTATAAACAATTAATACATATTATGTTGCAGAATAATGATTGAAGTGAAATCATATCCGTCTACTTTGCTAAAATTATTTTCGCTTAATTTGGTTGTTTTAAAGTGCATGTCACTTGCCAGAAAATAAACTACAGGGTTGACAGGAAGTTATCTGTAAGAGTCCTCTCGCTGAACTATTTTTAGTTTAATTAATGGTGAAATGGTGGCACTGCTTTCTTCCACAATCTGTTGGCTGCGGTAGTCCAAAATATGTTTTTATTTATAGAAATGACCTTTCAAATCTAATTATAGTGATCAGCAACTGATTTTTCACCTCTGATTAGTATTAAGTTCAGCCATCAGGTAAGCCGAGAGGTAACTAAATGGCTATTTTTATTCCCTCCTCAGTTCTGATAACCTGAGTCATGATTGTTCTTGACAATAGAATTTTCCAAGCAAAATCATTATGCACAGATATACATTGGCCATTAGCAAGACAAATAGCACAAGGAGCGAACTGGACATAGCTCAGTAGTAGAGTTATGGCTCTGCATTAAGAAGGCTCTGGCATCTCCTAGTAGGGCTGGTTTAGATCCCGGTCAGAAAGAATTGTTGATAGTCAGTGTAAACAATTTTGAGATGGATGGGCCAATGGTCAGAATTGGTACATCAACAGCAAATTCCTATGTTCTTCGGTGGATATACAGGAATGGTTTCACCCCCTAACTTTTCTAACTTTTCTGTTTGTTTATAAAGCAATGCATTTATTCAGTGATTACAGTATATTAACATCATTCATGGAGGCAGAATTGCACACAGATTGACTCTGGAATACAAATGCTGTTCCATCTTCAGATTGAGGACAGCTGCTGTTGACGGCAACCACCAAACTGTGGAACATCTTCCCCCCCAAACCCAAATATCACATACTCAGTTGCTAGATTTTGTGCTGCCATTATGGATGTTCCTCGAAGGATGGTTTGTGCCACAAATAGGCCTAAGCTGAAGGCCCAAAATGGTCCTTTACGTTCCCTCCTTTATAGTCTCTTTTAACTGTTGGTCCTTGTTTTTATCTTTAATGGTTATGTATGGTATAATCACCTTTTCATTATTAGCTTTTATCCCTTATGTTATGTACTGAAGTTCTCACCCTGGGCCAGCAGGGGGATACTGTAGATAGTTTTTACTCAGGTCCACATATGCAAATAAGGGATCGAAAGTGACGTTCAGTGATTGGATAGTTACAGAAAGTTGTTACAGTTACGTTGTACTGGAGCTCTATATAAGCAGGCTGGCTGAGCCCTTCAGTTCAGTTCTGTTCTGGCCTGTGAATAAACAAGAGCTGTTTGAAGAATCGCTGTGTCGTCTGCTATGTTCACCCACAACTTAACACCTTACCTGTTTTAAGCCTTATGTATTCAGTTTTCTGTATGTTTTATCTTATGCTGGTCTGTGACCGAAATAGAGTTTGATAATGATACTGATACTCTTCCCCCCAAAAGTTTGGTTTCCTTTGTGCCTCCATTCTTGAGTTTCCTGAGGGAGGTACAATTTTTTTAATTCTCTCACTTTAAATTTATCTTGAGATTTTAACCTCCTGCTCTGGCACTGCATTTTTAAATTAAATTAACCTGGTTTTATGATCCTTTCTTGCTGCTGTTTTAACAGAAACATCACCATCATCACCATACTGCTTTTATTGTATTGTTGTGCCTAACCTGGAAGCTTCCTTGGAAACTGAGGGAGTCAAAATCTTCTAAATGAATGAAATAAAACAAGCCCCTTGTTTAGCTGGTAGAAGGATAAAGCCAAGGAAAAACAGTGGGACTCACAAAATGTTAATTTAAATTGGGGGGATATTCAGGTTTGAATGTAATATTGATGCACCCTAGCCCAGAAATACAAGTCAGACCTGAAACTTACCTTTTGAATTCCTTTCTAGAGTTTGCTATGCCGTTAGGTTCAGGTACTGAACAAAGGCTGAAGACAGCATGTCTGTGTTAGTACCATCCAGCAGGGCTTTTTCCAGGGCTGAGGTACTATTGAAGATCTCACCACTTATCCTTTCAGTCAGCTTCCTTCCTAGCATGCACCGTGATCTCGCATGCACTAAAGCAGGCATCTTGTGTGTATGACAACAGTGTCTCACACCGAGTGTAACTAGCCTGTAGAAAGGACTCTATGAATTGGAAAAAGAGATGAGGGTTGCCATACATCCGGAATTTCCTGGACATATCTGGAATACCAAAATTATCAGCGGTGTCTGGGTGGTTAAATGTCCAGGAAAATCCGTGTGTATGACAGTCGGTGTCGGCAGTGCCAATTTTGCATATCTTCCCTTAAAATAGCTAAAAAACAACAATGGCAAATTCTTTTGCGATCTTGCAAAGAAAAGCTGAGCAAATTCTGTCTGGATGTACACTGTTTGAATTATGGCAACCTTAACAGAGATGTTACATGTACCTTTGTTTTCTGTGAAAATCTTTCAGTGAAAGCAAATCAACAACCACAACAAAGTGTTGCAGTGTGGAGTGCTTTGCTGGTACAGTCTTACCTCGGGTTACAGACACTTCAGGTTGCATTTTTTCAGGTTACGGACGCGCCGAAACCCGGAAGTACCAGAATGGGTTACTTCTGGGTTTCGGCCGTCGCACATGCGCAGAAGCGCCAAATTGCAACCCGCACGTGCGCAGACGTGGCGCTGTGGGTTGGTTGTGAATGCTGCGGGTTGCGAACGTGCCTTCCACACGGATCATGTTCACAACCCAAGCGTCCGCTTACACCTTTTTTATTGGTTGTTTCCACGGTAGTGGCAAAGTTGCTAACAGGGAGGAGACGACACATCATTCTGAGTATAGGATGCTCAGGATCACTTTTCCCCTGCCCCACTTTTTATCTGAATGCATCCAGTTGCTTTATTATTCATCGTAGAGTTGGATTGCTTAGGTACCTTGTGCCAGCAGCTTGCGATATGGAGCATTCAGGGCGGTTTGTCATTACATAAGAAGCATAAACCGGAGCAGTGTGCTGCATGGACCAATTAACTAATCCAGCATAGCGAGTCCTCGAGTTCTTAACTTTCTTCTTTCTTTCATAAAAAAAGGCAAGGCAGTACTTTAAAGAAGAACCGGGAAGAAAATGTCACTCTCTTTCTGAGTGCAGTACCGAAAACGTCTT